TCGTCTGAACTCGGAATTGAGTTCCATTTTTTTCCTATACATAGCTAACGAACCCCTCTATTCAATGATACTTGCATGGCCAAATTATTCTTGAAATCATATTCTCCCAAAGCTCTTGACCAATACGTTAAACGTGTTTCGCGCGATTTTGCTTATTGGGGCCGTTCAGACTCGTCCAAGCTCTAAATTAATTTTCGTTTCTTCTTATATGTAAGCAACGACCCCATCTACACAATCATCATCACCCGCTCAATTTTCGTGCTAAATCTATTCCTCACGGGCTAAAGAATTAACAAATCACCTATTAACAAATCCTCCATGAACCATCTATTAATGGGTGATTTGTTAATTATTTAGCCCCGTGAGGAATAAATTTAACCTGAAAATTGTCCGGGCAATCATGGTTGTGTAGACGGGTATGTTGATGACATATAGAAAAAAAAAACATAACTCAATTACGAGCTTGGACGAGTCCGAACGGGCCCAAAAAGCAAAGTCACGTGAAGCACGTTTAATGTGTAGGTCAAGATCTTTGGGAGAATATGATTTCAAGAATAATTTGGCCATGCAAGTATCATTTTTAATTTGTTTATAACTTAATTCCAAATTCAATTTATTTTTTTTACAGTTCGATTGGGTGTCTTATTAACAGTACCTGGAGGATGGTACTCTCCCAGATGAGTGCACAGAAGATCAACATATTTGGATGTATAGTGTAACACCCCACTTATCAGAGTAAATTTTTCGCAACTTTTACTTCGAAAATACTTATAAATTTTTGGAAATCTTTTGCTTTTAACTCGGGATGCTACTAAAACTTATATTTTCTGAAAATCCGTTTTTCTTTAAACTTGGTTTAACTATTGGTTTAGACATAAAGAAAACAAATTTTAAATCTTTATCGAAACAAGCATGTAAATATGAAAAACTGTTCATACTGGCGAACTGGATAAATCTGTAAATACTTAACATTGAAATTCGAAAATTAAATGTGTAGCGGAAAAGTCTTAAAAGCGTGACTTCATATTATACAAACATAAAAAGTCAATAAGTAAATGTCCACTGAAACAAATGCACGACCATCACCACCACTTCTGAGCTCACACCTCCGAGCCGACCCTATTACCTGAAAAACACAATGGGGGTGAGTACTGATCCTCTTATACTCTATAAAAACCAAGACTAAAGTAAACAACAATAATAATATCAATATCATGATCGTTGGTATATATTTGTACTTAGTCTCTCGGTATATGACCGGTAACTGTAACTGAACTGTGCAACTACCGGTAATAGGCTAGTTCTCAAGTGATCACATTCTTGGGGTTGCTTCCCACAGAACCCAGTATAACTTAACTTAACTGCGCGAGTGACTCAAGACCGAGTCATCTTAATATGGACCACGAACGGAATAACTCCATCGTACGGGTAAATCTCCACATACATACTTCAGATATGATATCAATATTATAGTCAAGGTAATACCCAGGCTGGGTCTTCACCTTTTCTGCCTGAAAACTTTTGAAAACTATAAGTGCTGTGTTGGGTAGCTGTAGCTGCAAGCTACATAAATATATAAACAAATATACTAAGTACTATGCTCATATACTCAATATAATTCTAGGATGCTCGACTCCATTAGATAACTTATCCGGATTTAAAGAAACACTCTAAAAGTTCTCTAACATAATATTAATTCTGGAATTAAACTGGTATACTTAAATTGAATTGATTGGACTCGGAAAATACTAAGAAAAATCTCGGAATTAACTAAAATGATAGTCAAGATTTATACCTCCTCTTGAATAGACGAAAAATTGAAAGAATCGAGAAAAACGAAGCCTCGAACGCTCAAAACTCGTCCTTGACAAATTCACTCATTTTGCTACTATTCCCACGGGAATTCAAGCTTCTCTAATTAAATGCTCGGAACTCCGAAATACTCGATAAATGCATGACATCGTGCCTAAGTCATCTACACATCCCAACTCGATTCTCGGTAAACCGAAGTCACACGCGACCTTGCGGGTCCCACGTAAACGGCTTTTTCATTTATTTTACTAATATGCACCCTCGAACTCGAGCTTCTCTAAATAGATGATCGGTACCTCGAAATAATAAATCGACGCCACAAACGACTTCTCCTCTTCTCGTGCTTTCTCGAAAGCACTTTCGTTAATGCTCGACTCGCTTATCGAGGCCCGACGGAACACCTGAAGTCGCCTCATTAAATAAGCTAATATAAAACAAAAAATGAAGATTATAAATTATAAATTAATTTTATTTGTAAAATTTATTTTTGAAATACGTTTTACAATTAATTAGCCATAAATGTTTTATGTATTAATTTTTTAAATATAAAACGTATTATCAAAATACGTTTTATTTATTAATTTTTTTAATTTAAAAAATTAACATGCTTTTAAAACGTGTTAATATTTTAAATATAAAATGTATTATCAAAATACGTTTTATATGTTAATTTTTTTTAAATTTTAAAAAATAACATAAATTTAAAACGTATTATCCTAATATGTTTTTGTTAAAAAACTTAATTAAAAAAACGTATTATGAGAATACATGCTTTTTATTTTTGTTAATATTTTTTTTATTTCTTTTATTTTTGTCCAATTATTTTTCTTGTTTTTTTTTTTTATATATATAAACTACCCTATCTTGAACACTGTTTTAATTTTGACTAAATACACGTGTAAACTATTACATGATTCACGTATACAAACGCTATAGACAAAAATATCGAAAAGAATGAGTAACTACGAATATTTAACAGGAAAATGCAATATAAGCATAAAGAATCTTCATTTAAAAATGATGTGGACTATTTGAATGTGTAGCATTGTTCCAATCGTCTACGCAACTGTTCCTTATCAACAAGTTTGCACCTCTTTAATTCCCTTTTAAAACTCTAAACATCTTCTAGAAAGGAAATTAACTGACCCAATTAATAAAAACACGAGCCAAAATTCAAAATTAATTCTATAATTTAGTCAATTAAATCCAAGACCATTTTTAGACTGGGTCTAATAATCTGATCTGACAAACTTGTTATTAGATGTTCGTTAGTAACGTAACTTGACGCATTAGTTAACAAACTAAAAGACGAGTACTATATGAGCCTAATTATCTCTACTACTACAATGTGAGCCTAATTATCTTCGTAGCTACTCTTACTAAGTGGGTTAGACTTGGTCTCACTAAACATCCTAACACGGCACTATTAAATTAAAGGATAAAAATCATATAAAATTTAATTTTTTTCTTTTCTTTTTTTTTTTTTTTTTGGGGACAAGAAAGGGAGACACGCCTACACAACAAACTATCTAATAATCTTCTGAGGATAGGACACGCCAATCATATCATGATATAACTATATGGGGCCCGCCCCCATAGGAGGGTACTTCAACCTATGAAGACCACTCGGACTCTTCCCAGCCAAAGAAGTCAAATAGTCCGCAACAAAATTGGTTTCCCGATATCCATGAACAACCTCCATGGACCATTAATGCCACCACGATAATTCTTGAACCCCCTTCAAAATGCTCCCATAAGGTTTACTGTATGTCTCATCCGCGACCATATCAATGATACTCTGGTTGTCATTTCAACTTTAATTTTTTGGGTCCCAATATCCCAGGCCAACTGTAGGCCCTGGAACAACTCCCATAATTCTGCTCATATAATAGAGTAAAATCGGGTGTTCATCAGCAAACCCGGCACCCAATTCCCATGGTGGTCTCGAATGACACCACCCTCACTCGCCATTCCCGTCACCGGGACAAAGTTGCCATCCGTATTGACCTTCAGTTCGTCCTCCGCCTGGGAAGACCAAGAATAAGTCCCAGTTCTCCACTTCCGGGCAGAACCCCCGATAAATTGGCTAGGAGGCAATCCCTGAAATCCAACAAAAAGAATGTATCCCAATGAGTGCGAGGAACTAACGTCTTCCAAGTATGAGTTGCCGCAGGACAATCCCATAAGGCGTGAAGCGTTGATTCAAATTCCCCCATACATAGCATGCATACCAAGTTCGTAGCCATGTGTCGATGTTACCTACTTGCGTTAGTCAATAAGCACTCGCGAGCCGCTAGCCACAGGAAATAGCGAACTCGCTGCGGGCCCTCCCACTTCCAGATTAATTTCCATATGCCCTGATGGTGTCGCCTCGAGGACAGTAACAAGGCCAGTAAACGGATTTTGTAAAGAATTTTCTGTCTGCGGACAGTCCCCAATACAAAAAAGTCCTGCCCACAAGTCGCTTGTGGAACTATAGACGCGGAAATCTGAAGCATGCATGTGGCCGGTAGCAGGTCCTGAAACAACAGTCAGTTCCAGACACCTTTCGGCTTAACAAACGTTGTTACCAGCTCAAAAAGCAAGAATTCAGGCACCGGGCCCGTCACTTTCTGTATCAATGGGACCTCGCAGTGTAACCACCTTACCCCCCAAAACCGAGTCGTGCGGCCGTTCTCGACGGACCATCTACTCCCCGCGAGCGTCGCCTTCCATACATCTCGAAAGGCTCAGAGCACCGTTGAGCCTTGGGGAACTTCAAAATCCATCCCTCAGCTCCAATGTGTAGTTAGCCCGAAGCACCCGACACCACAGTAAATTCGGCTCCTTCAAAAAAGTCCAGGCAAGCTTAATGGTCCTTCATCCCGAGCCTTAGATTTTAAACAACAAAAGTCTTCTTATCCGACACGTAAAGCATATATTTTGGCGTCTTCATGACAATCAACGTTTGTCAAATTAAACCAAAATTTTGACTTAGTGGCCATGCAATTCAAACTTAAATTCCCCAACACCTTAACAATACTACTTTCATACAAGTTTATTTAAAGAGATCCACCCACAGACCCACTATCCAATCGTCCTACTTTCAATTGCAATAATTTCATAGTTAATTATCCACTTTTATCGAGGGAGATCCACCCAGTATCCAAATCGTCCTTACAATATATCACTCATTGAAGAGCAAAAACATGGCTTATCATCATCATCATCCTAATACAATATTCAGCTTATTGATGAGCTCCCTACAAATCCAATGCTTGTTATTATTACACCACCAAATCCCACAAATTCATGCAAATATCAACCACAACAGTATTAAGGTGAAAACAGAGGTTTTCCTGTCACCCAAAATTGAGCTTGAGCCTGGGCTGGTCTCCAACAAATACTATGTCGACATCGGTTTTCCACGCGGACACCTTGCCGTCAAGAGCTTCAACGCCGAGCTCGTTGATGAGGCAGGAAACCCGGTCCCACTTCACGAGACGTACCTCCACCACTGGGTCCTTAACCGGTACTATCTACTAAAAGACGCGGCGCAATATTACCATACTAACCTCGGGTCCCCACTTGCTGATGTCATCCCCGTCAACAACAGCGGACCATGTGACGACGTGCTGAAGCAGTATTACGGGATTGGGGCCGAGACCCGGAAAACGGCCACTTATGTGCCGGATCCGTATGGGGTTGAAGTTGGTAATAATGCCGAAAAAAATTATTAAACTCATTTAGCTAATAAATACCTTACGTCTTTTCATATCCACTTTAATTTTCACATTATTAATTTTCGTTAAAGATGGTTATCATTGGCAAAAAAAAATCTTAATTATTATGCAACTTCTCAAAACGACATATATTACGACCAGGAGGGAGTATAATAAGTTTTGATTGCTGTTAATATATTGTAGTAAAACTAAAAATAACTAACCCGACCGATATTCCGGAAGGGTACAAGGAAGGGTGGGTGCTGAACGTGCACGCAATCGATACGCGTGGGGCCCGGGACAGATTGGGATGCACAGAGTGCAGGTGCAATTTGTACAATGTGACGGCCGAGAAAGGGTACTTGGGAGGCCTAAGATGTTGTCGCGACGGGACGAGGTGTGAGGTCGGAGAAGGATTTCACGGCGTGAAGAAGAGTTTGTACTTGAGGTACACGGTAAAGTATGCCGAGTGGAACCCATCAACAATTGTGCCCGTCAAGATTTACTTAATGGACGTCACGGATGTTTGGACGAGGGGCGACGACTCGGGAGGGGTTAAGGGTGGTAGACACGATTGTGTGGTGAGAAATTTATATATGAGTCTTAAATTATTTTCAGTTTCTTTTTTCCCTCGAATTCTAGTTTGTTCAATAGTTAGGAATATTTGCGTTCGTTTAGTATGTGTACTTGGGACATGTTCATGTTGTTGTTTTTACATAGGTGGAGTATGATGTGGATTCTTGTCCGGCGGATGTGGCCAACAACGGCAGTTGCATTCACACAAAGACAGCTACGTTTAGTTTTCCTGGCGGTGGCGACGTTATCTATGGGGTCGGGCACCAGCATGCTGCAGCCACCGGCACAACTTTGTATGGGGAGGTACGTATTTTCCGTAAAGCCTTTGTTTAATTTGCTCATGATTAATCAGTTATCTAATTCTATCTTTTGATTTACATTTGATAATCAGATTCCCTGTACAAATTGGATACTTTTTTATTATACTTGTATGCATGCCTCTTCTTATAAACTAGCTATTTAGTGAAACTTGATCAATTGTGATGTTCTTGGCTATTTTGAATATAGATTAGCTTGTTGGATGATGTTTTTCTATGAAAAATATGTATGTTAATATATACTTGCAATATGGTAAATACATATTAATCCAGGGAGGAAGAGTGATATGCTCGTCCAACCCAGTCTACGGACAAGGGAACGAGCCGGGAGATGAGGCCGGCTATGTTGTGGGGATGTCCACATGTTACCCAACACCCGGTTCGGTCAAGATCTCGGATGGGGAGATATTAACCCTTGTCTCAAAATACAGCAACGACCAAAGTCACGCAGGCGTCATGGGGCTTTTCTACATCCTAGTGGCTCATCCCTCACACCAACACAAACTTTCCCTTCATGCTCAAACCCAAGTATATATATATAATTCTTCTTCCTTTTCACTTCTTTTCGAAGTTCGCAGACACGCTTGAATTTAATTGTACATTTGTGGCCTTATATATAATCACATCTTCATAGGGGATAACTCGATACTCACTAAGGAGTTTGTGTTGGTTGCAGGCTTTTACGACTATGATGATGTCCAAATTCATTTGGCCAATCGTTCTCCTTGGAGTTGCGCTTGCTGTCGTCGTTGTTTTTGTGTTGAAGGGTAAGACGGGTGGAGGGGATGGCTATGAGGCCATGATATGAGCTCCTTCATTAATGCAAATATTAGCTCTACTCATTATATATTTTGCAGTTTTGTTCTTTTGTGATCAGTCGTATATTGTGATGTGTTCCGATTTCAAGAAGAAGATGTGAAAAACAAGTATTTCATGTAATAATTTCATTCTAAGATGTGTTGTAAACTTACGGTGTGCAATAGTATAAACATTGGCGGAATAAGCTAATACATCTTGTTTGGGCTCATTTACACATATACAGTATTGATTCCTAAAATATTGCAAGAATATAAGATAGAAAAATTATTTACACATCTACCCAACTGAAAATATATATTTGCACATCTATTTAATCCCTAATCCATGCACATCACAAAGTCATCACCGCCGCCTTCAATCGAGAAGCTCCTGGTTACTTCTTTTTTTTTTCAAACGATAGAAGATAGTATTACTAGAAAAAGCGCAAACAAAGTTCGAAAGATTACAACTACAATGGGAGATGCACTCAACGAGTGATCTAGAGAAAAATCAAAGCAAACACGAGAAAAAGTGGGGATACAACCACCGGGACTTTCCCTCGAACAACCTACTACAAGCCACTAAAACAAAAACACCAAAGAAAGAAAAACAACGACCAACCAAACAACCTAACTCCAAAAAAGCCTAACTCTAAATAGACGCAAATTCTTGTCATTCTCTCCACGCCCCTCGAATCACTACCTCTTCCGGCATCCAAACCTTCTCAAAAAGCCATAGATTGCGGGATCACCATAACCACCATAAAATATACGTAGATAATTGCATGTGGTCCTCGGATATTTCTGATTTCTCCAAGTCACAGATTTGCCACCACCACATTTTGAAAGATGGTGCACACATTACCTTCTCCTCCAACTCCAACGGTGCAGTTTCTGGACTCGTTGGGCTCTGCTGCAGCTTAGAAGAAGATGTTAATCGACTCTGGTTGCTCCCCACACATCTTGCAGATTGAATCTATCTGCACCCTCTTTTTGCAACATTTAAACTCACAGGTAATGACCCTGTAAAGCATTTCCATTGAAAATGCTTGAGTTTACATTTAACCTTCATTTTCCATGTTCTGTTTCTTATATTCTTGTCAGTCAAAGCTGAACCACTCCCCTCATGCACATCCAAAAATAGAGTTTTCTGGGTAAGCAGATGATTGTAAGAACTTGCCACATAAAACTTCCCATTTCCTTCAAAAGACCACCTCCATATGTCTTGTTCATCAGGTGCTAGTGATTTAATATCCATGCTTTATCAACATCACTAAACACCTGGTTAATCAACTCCTCGTTCCAACCACTACTATCCTCCTTTATCAGATCCCTAACCCAAACAAGAGAACCACTACCAGAGTTCAGAAGAGTTGGACATTTATGGTTCAGATTTGGCACCCAACTGCTATCAGATATCCTAGTGAGTCTGTCATCCCTTATCTCTCTTTTCAGACCTTGAGCAAAAACTGGTAGAATCTCCACCCAGTTGTTCCAAAGCCAAGAAGCAGACTGGCTTTTTTTAACCTCAAAGATTGAGTTAGAAGGGTAATACTTGGCTTTCAGTACTTTGCTTACTAGAAGTTCAGGCAATGTGGTAATCCTCCAAAGTTGTTTCAAGAGGAGGGCCTCATTAAATAACTTGTAGTCTTAGAAACCCAGCCCTCCACTGCTCTTAGCTTGGGCCTGGATGCTTCATTTCCTCCAATGAATGCCACTATCCAAGTTCTCTCACTTACTCCACCAAAAAGCAGCTGTAATCCTGCTCAACTCCTCATAAATCCCCATAGGAAATCTAAAATAGGACATGGAAAAGACTGGCAAAGCATTAATCACTGCCCTCACCAAGATTTCTTTGCCAGCTGTGGATAGGAATATGTTCTTCCAGCTCACCATCCTTTTCTTCACTGCTTCAATAATATATTCAAAAGTCTCTTTCTTGGATTTCCCAATCCCCAGGGGAAGTCCAAGGTAACTTGTGGAGTTGTGTTGTTCAACTGGGGGTGGGAATTTCTGCTGAAAAATATTGTAGACTTGCTCAAATTCACACTTTGGCCAGAGAAACTCTTGTATAATTGTAGTATATCCTCAGCACTCTCACTTGATTAATTCAGCTTTACAGAAGATAAGAGTGTCATCTGCAAAGAGCAGATGTGTAAGAGTTGGCCCTGCCCTAGCAGTCCTGAGCCCTTTAAATTCGCCACTGCAAGCAGCTCCCCTTATCAATGATGACAGAACCTCAGAAACAATCAGAAACATATAGGGGAAAATTGGATCTTCCTGTCTTAGCCCTCTTGAAGGAGTAAGATAGCCCTTGGGTTGGCCATTTATAAGGAAAGAGAAAGTTAGTGAGGAGATGCAAGCATAAATCCATTTAACAAAGACAGGATCAAATCCCATTTTCAGCATTGTTTTGCAGACACTTCCCCACTCCACACGATCATATGCCTTAAGCATATCCAACTTCAGAGCCATGAAAAAGTTCTTACCTGTTCTGTGTCTATTCAGGTAATGGAAGATCTCCTGGGCTATAACTACATTGTCCATGAGCTGTCTGCCTGGGATAAAGACTGCCTGTGCTTGACTGATACAATAATCTAGATACCTTTCAACCTGTTGGCCAGAATCTTGGCAATGATCTTGTACACCACCCCACATAAGCTTATTGGCCGGAAGTTACTGATGGACTCAGGATTTATACACTTGGGGATGAGAGCCACTACTTTGTGATTCCAATACTTCAATAGCTACCCAGATTCAAAGAAGCTAACTACTGCTCTGCACAGATCCTCCTTCAGAAGTGGCCAGAAGTGCTGATAAAAAAGAGATGTCATTCCATCTTCCCCTGGTGCCTTAGAAGGGTTCATCTGAAACAGAGATTTTTGTATTTCCAGCTCTCCTACTTCTGCCTCCAGAGTTCTGTTCATGGAAGATGAAATAACAGGCCTTATGTGCTTCAGAGCTTCTTCTTCTTGTTGGGAACCTTCAGTGGTAAAAAGATCATCATAAAATTTCAGGATATGCTCTTCAATTTCCTTCTCTGTGGTAATCTCTCTGGCCCCCTCTATCAACCTTGTAATGGCTTTCTGTTTTCTCCTTTGCATAGTCATAGCATGGAAAAATTTAGTATTTTGATCTCCTTCTTTCAGCCATAGTATTCTTGATTTTTGCAACAAGAATTGCTCCTCAGAACAATGAGCTTCATCAAGTTCTTTTTGTAGCTTCTCTCATTCCCTCCAGTTCCTCTCCCCTCCTAATTTTCTCATCTCAGCAAGTTGTATGGTCAGACTGTCAATGGCTGTCCTTTTGTTATAATTCAGAGCTTTGTTCCACTGGATCAGAGCAACTCTTGTCTTTTTAACTTTCTCTTTCAAGATAAACATGGGGGTACCCTCAGAGCTGTCACTTCATGCCTGTGAAACTGTTTCTTGTATCCCTTCTTTTTGGATCCACCTCTTGTCAAAATGGAATCTTCTTGCCTTACTTTTGCTCTTCTGTCCATCTTCTATCAACAATAAGCTGTGATCAGAGGAAGTTTTGATGATATTCTGAACTCTGGCTTGGGAGTGCTTACTCATCCATTGATATGAATCAAAAGTCTTGTCCAACACTTCCTCCACATACCCCTCTTCCTCCCTATTATTACCCCATGTGAACTTATGCCCTTCCATCTACAACAAACACATCCCCATTGAAGCAATAAAATCATTGAATTCCTGAAAGCTTCTAGCTGTTCTGCTCCTACCTCCATTTTTCTCTTCTGGGCAGCTAAGATCATTCCAATCCCCAGATATCACCCAATGATCTCCCTATTTCCTCTTTTCATCTACTAAAAACTACCACTGCATAATTCTCTCATGCTTCTGAGTACTGATGTAGAAAAAATAGCCCATTCTGCCATCTGAGCTCCCTTTGATTTGAATTGAACTTAAATGCTGAATTCATTACTGCTTAAAGATAAAATGTTTATGTCTCTGTGCCAACATAGCAGAAGACCTCCTTTAGTCCCTTGAGGTTCCACATAATGCCAATTGCCTTCAAAACTAAGCCTTTTTACAAGCTTTAGATACATATTTTTTTATTTATTTATTAACTTCTAATAAAAATACAAAATTTGGATGGTGAGTCACAATGGACTGTCGCAATTGTGGAACTGTGGAGGGCCCACCCAGCCCTCTACAGTTCCACACCACTGCTCTCATTGGTCATCTTGGGGCCATTTTTGGCTGGCTTCCTCCACCAATGTCTTCTTCAGATTGGATTTTTTGTTTTGGCCAATATCTACATTACTACCACCTGCATCTGGACTGGTACCATCTTGGTCTATCAAAGATGTGCTTTTTTTTTTCAAAGTTGTCTCTGACTCCATAGAGCTAGAGTTTCTCCTTAGTCTGTCAGCTTTATGGGAGGTTCTCTTCTATGTTCTTTTCTTTGTAGTCTCATCAGGTTGCTTGTAAAGCATCAACTGAGACTTACAGGGATTCACTGTGGCAGTACCCTTTGAGGCTGTTGTCACTTCTACCTGCATATTATCTCTTAATCCCTTAGGCATAATGCTAGCTGTCTCACCCCCTTTCTCAACAGGCTGCACAGATGAGGAAAATTCCACCATAGTCAGGGCTGGAACTTTAATGATCACTGGATTGTTAGATCCTCTAGTCTGGCTGGCCTCTTTGTTCTGTGACTCTCTTTGATCATTCCTTCCTCTCTGGTCTTATCAGTGGAGTGGTTACTTTGGCTAGGCTCCTCTCTTGATGTAGACCCTTTTATGGGAGAGTTTGCTTCCACCCAAATACCTCCATCAACTGCTTTTACCCAATCACCATACTGTCCTTCCCTCACCTTCTTGTCTGCAATATCCTCTAGCCTTTTGCTGCAGCTTCTATCCAAATGCCCAATACAACCGCAATAGAAATATAGGTTTACCAATTTCTCATATTTCATATGCACAGTGACTTGAGTGTCCCCTAGCCTAATCTTTGTCCATCTGGGGAGAGGCTCTTTGAGGTCA